CTCCTTAAGACCCATATTTCAGACCTCCTTTCAAATCAAGCTCTAGAAACCCCTGTGCTTTATTTATCCTTATATAGACAACAGTCGATGATTTTGAAAAATTGTCCTGGGTTCTTAAGACCCATATTTCAGTCCTCCTTTCAAATCAAGCTCTAGAAACCCCTGTGCTTTATTTATCCTTATATAGACAACAGTCGATGATTTTGAAAAATTGTCGTGGCTCCTTAAGACCCATATTTCAGACCACCTTTCAAATCAAGCTCTAGAAAACCCTGTGCTTTATTTATCCTTATATAGACAACAGTTGATGAATTTGAAAAATTGTCCTGGCTCCTTAAGACCCATATTTCAGACCACCTTTCAAATCAAGCTCTAGAAACCCCTGTGCTTTATTTAACCTTATATAGACAACAGTCGATGATTTTGAAAAATTGTCCAAGCTCCTTAAGACCCATATTTCTGACCTCCTTTCAAAGCATGCTCTAGAAACCCCTGTGCTTTAGTTTTCCTTATATAGACAACAGTCGATGATTTTGAAAAATTGTCGTGGCTCCTTAAGACCCATATTTCAGACCACCTTTCAAATCAAGCTCTAAAAACCCCTGTGCTTTAGTTATCCTTATATAGACAACAGTCGATGATTTTGAAAAATTGTCCTGGCTCCTTAAGACCCATATTTCAGACCACCTTTCAAATCAAGCTCTAGAAACCCCTGTGCTTTATTTAACCTTATATAGACAACAGTCGATGATTTTGAAAAATTGTCCTGACTCCTTAAGACCCATATTTCAGACCTCCTTTCAAAGCATGCTCTAGAAACCCCTGTGCTTTAGTCATCCTTATATAGACAACAGTCGATGATTTTGAAAAATTGTCCTGGCTCCTAAAGACCCATATTTCAGACCACCTTTCAAATCAAGCTCTAGAAACCCCTGTGCTTTATTTAACCTTATATAGACAACAGTCGATGATTTTGAAAATTTGTCCAAGCTCCTTAAGACCCATATTTCAGACCTCCTTTCAAAGCATGCTCTAGAAACCCTTGTGCTTTAGTTTTCCTTATATAGACAACAGTCGATGATTTTGAAAAATTGTCCTGGCTCCTTAAGACCCATATTTCAGACCACCTTTCAAATCAAGCTCTAAAAACCCCTGTGCTTTAGTTATCCTTATATAGACAACAGTCGATGATTTTGAAAAATTGTCCTGGCTCCTTAAGACCCATATTTCAGACCTCCTTTCAAAACAAGCTCTAGAAACCCCTGTGCTTTATTTATCCTTATATTGACAACAGTCGATGATTTTGAAAAATTGTCCTGACTCCTTAAGACCCACATTTCAGACCTCCTTTCAAAGCATGCTCTAGAAACCCCTGTGCTTTAGTCATCCTTATATAGACAACAGTCGATGATTTTGAAAAATTGTCCTGGCTCCTAAAGACCCATATTTCAGACCACCTTTCAAATCAAGCTCTAGAAACCCCTGTGCTTTATTTAACCTTATATAGACAACAGTCGATGATTTTGAAAAAATTGTCCTGGCTCCTTAAGACCCATATTTCAGACCACCTTTCAATTCAAGCTCTAGAAACCCCTGTGCTTTAGTCATCCTTATATAGACAACAGTCGATGATTTTGAAAAATTGTCCCGGCTCCTTAAGACCCATATTTCAGACCTCCTTTCAAATCAAGCTCTAGAAAACCCTGTGCTTTAGTCATCCTTATATAGACAACAGTCGATGATTTTAAAATATTGTTCTAGCACCTTAAGACCCATATTTCAGACCTCCTTTCAAATCAAGCTCTAGAAAACCCTGTGCTTTATTTATCCTTATATAGACAACAGTCGATGATTTTGAAAAATTGTCCTGGCTCCTTAAGACCCATATTTCAGACCACCTTTCAAATCAAGCTCTAGAAACCCCGAGCTTTAGTCATCCATATATGGACAACAGTCGATGATTTAAAAAAATTGTCCTAGCACATTAAGACCCATATTTTAGACCTCCTTTCAAATCAAGCTCTAGAAACCCCTGTGCTTTAGTCATCCTTATATAGACAACAGTCGATGATTTTGAAAAATTGTCCTGGCTCCTAAAGACCCATATTTCAGACCACCTTTCAAAGCATGCTCTAGAAACCCCTGTGCTTTATTTAACCTTATATAGACAACAGTCGATGATTTTGAAAAATTGTCCTGGCTCCTTAAGACCCATATTTCAGACCTCCTTTCAAAGCATGCTCTAGAAACCCCTGTGCTTCATTTATCCTTATATAGACAACAGACGATGATTTTAATAAATTGTCCTAGCACCTTAAGACCCATATTTCAGATCACCTTTCAAATCAAGCTATAGAAACCCCTGTGTTTTATTTATCCTTATATAGACAACAGTCGATGATTTTGAAAAATTGTCCTGGCTCCTTAAGACCCATTTTTCAGACCACCTTTCAAATCAAGCTCTAGAAACCCTTGTGCTTTATTTATCCTTATATAGACAACAGTCGATGATTTTGAAAAATTGTCCTGGCACCTTAAGACCCATATTTCAGACCTCCTTTCAAATCAAGCTCTAGAAAACCCTGTGCTTTATTTATCCTTATATAGACAACAGTCGATGATTTTGAAAAATTGTCCTGGCTCCTTAAGACCCATATTTCAGACCACCTTTCAAATCAAGCTCTAGAAACCCCTGTGCTTTATTTATCCTTATATAGACAACAGTCGATGATTTTGAAAAATTGTCCTGGCTCCTTAAGACCCAAATTTCAGACCACCTTTCAAATCAAGCTCTAGAAACCCCGAGCTTTAGTCATCCTTATATAGACAACAGTCGATGATTTTAAAATATTGTCCTAGCACCTTAAGACCCATATTTCAGACCTCCTTTCAAATCAAGCTCTAGAAAACCCTGTGCTTTATTTATCCTTATATAGACAACAGTCGATGATTTTGAAAAATTGACCTGGCTCCTTAAGACCCATATTTCAGACCACCTTTCAAATCAAGCTCTAGAAACCCCCAGCTTTAGTCATCCTTATATAGACAACAGTCGATGATTTTGAAAAATTGTCCTGGCTCCTTAAGACCCATATTTTAGACCTCCTTTCAAAGCATGCTCTAGAAACCCCTGCGCTTTATTTATCCTTATATAGACAACAGTCGATGATTTTGAAAAATTGTCCTGGCTCCTTAAGACCCATATTTCAGACCTCCTTTCAAATCAAGCTCTAGAAACCCCTGTGCTTTATTTATCCTTATATAGACAACAGTCGATGATTTTGAAAAATTGTCCTGGCTCCTTAAGACCCATATTTCAGTCCTCCTTTCAAATCAAGCTCTAGAAACCCCTGTGCTTTATTTATCCTTATATGGACAACAGTCGATGATTTTAAAAAATTGTCCTGGCTCCTTAAGACCCATATTTCAGACCTCCTTTCAAATCAAGCTCTAGAAACCCCTGTGCTTTATTTATCCTTATATAGACAACAGTCGATGATTTTGAAAAATTGTCCTGGCTCCTTAAGACCCATATTTCAGTCCTCCTTTCAAATCAAGCTCTAGAAACCCCTGTGCTTTATTTATCCTTATATAGACAACAGTCGATGATTTTGAAAAATTGTCGTGGCTCCTTAAGACCCATATTTCAGACCACCTTTCAAATCAAGCTCTAGAAAACCCTGTGCTTTATTTATCCTTATATAGACAACAGTTGATGATTTTGAAAAATTGTCCTGGCTCCTTAAGACCCATATTTCAGACCACCTTTCAAATCAAGCTATAGAAACCCCTGTGCTTTATTTATCTTTATATAGACAACAGTCGATGATTTTGAAAAATTGTCCTGGCTCCTTAAGACCCATATTTCAGACCACCTTTCAAATCAAGCTCTAGAAAACCCTGTGCTTTATTTATCCTTATATAGACAACAGTCGATGATTTTGAAAAATTGTCCTGGCTCCTTAAGACCCATATTTCAGACCTCCTTTCAAATCAAGCTCTAGAAACCTCAAGTAGACGTTTATGCTTGCAACACACACAATTTACTCGTAGACGTGCAGCCCTGGTATTTCACTGTTATGAACAGCCTATCAATTTGATAAGAGATTTTCTTACGTTTAAAGCATTAATGAGTTGGGAAGATTTTATTTCGAACCATGATAAATTCCTAGTACCTGGGCAAAAAATTTTTCAAGCAAATGTAAAAAGGTTGTAAAAATATGGTCAATTTGCTAGTGGTAACTCAATTGCGAATTCTATGCTCCTTCAATGAGGCAAATTATTGTTAGGAGATGCAGTGTCTAGGCTGACTAGTTTTATTATTATTAAATAACCACTTGTTAAATTTGAAGCTAATTTCGAATTATAAGAGTGTTCATTTATCAGACCATTTTTATGATTTCACATTTAATCCTAAATCAGAGACCAATCTCCTAACTATAATTTGCCTCATTGAAGGAACGTCGAATTCGCAATTGAGTTACCACTGGCAAACTGTTCTTATTTTTACTTTACATTTCCTTGTAAAATTTTTTGCCCAGGCTTTAGGAATTTTTCATGGCTCAAAATAAAATCTTCCCCACTCATTAATGCATCAAACGTAAGAAAATCTCTTTTCAAATTGATACGCTGTTCATATAACAGTGAAATACCGGGGCAGCACGTCTCTATGAGCGAATTGTGTGTGTTGTAAGCATAAACGTCTACTTTCTCTAATTACACTACTTTTGGAGCAAATTAAGTTTCCACAAGTGTGGAGTGTATTTTGACCAGTCCAATTACAAAGGGATCAAATAATGCAATTTTCGCATGGCCGCGTTCACGTCCTTGGCTTTACTGCAATCGCCAATGTCGTCCTCTCCGATATCGATTTCCGCGCCATGTTTGTCGAGCACTTAGCTCGAACTGCTCTTAATTGCGACAATTATTATTTCAAAAGAGCACCTCGACGTGACGATGCCAAGAGAGACCACTTGCAAATAACAGGGCGCTACATGCACAGAGTTAGCGTCACTGAAAATTCCGGTAACAAACTTTTTATTTAGAATTGAGATTTCTTTTTTACATCTGTAGGTGTCATGGATTAAAAAATTATAATTAGTCTTTGCTAAAATCATCTAACTAGTTATTACCTTTGAGCAAGTGGTATATATTAAAAAGTAGTTCTACAATTACATTTTTGCAAAAAAGAAAGTTTTATATCTTCAAAAAAAGTATCCTTGGCTTGAATTGTCATCTCCTCAAGTGTCAAATTTTCTTGGCTTTAAAGAAATAAACTGGGAAAATTCTGTTAATTTATTTAATTTCATTCCTTGAGTGAAACTTGTAGGTTGAGTTAAGGATTTGTGTACTTGTTACATTAATTAATTGGAGCAAAGATTTACTTGTAACTGTAGAAAAAGCCATAAATAATACGCAAACTCATAGGCGATTTAATTAAATTTCCAAATGAATTCTTTTCAATTAAGATATTCAGAAATCATTTTATAAAATATGGAAAAAAACTAATAGACGTTTAAAAAATTAATTTCGTGCAAAAGATAGTTTCCCTTCCATAAAATAGTGGAAACTATTAATTATATTATTATTTATTCCTCTCAATCCATACAAAGATGTAAAATTTGAATAGAGAAGAAAGGGTTTGCAACTAGCAGATGTCTTCTAAAACGCCCGAATACCCAAAGAAACTCGGCCGCCGTTGTAAACCCGTTCAGGTATTAGAAAATATTATTGCAAAACCTTTTAGTTTCAGCCTAGCAACTGTCCGGCAATAAATCATTACTTTGAGTTTATAAATTTTCACCTCCATCATTGTCAAATATTTATGTGCCACTCGTAAATCTAGTCTGGGGTTTGGAACAAAATCGCAATAATTTCGAAACTCCCTGTTGGACTGAACATATGAGAAGGGCCGAACCGGATGGACCATGCAGTGGAACGAAGCCCACAAGTAATTTTTAAAATGATTTATTGCGCCGCTGCGCTGGTCATTCATTGCAAGGTTTTGCAATTTAGAAATTACTATCGCACAATCTTTTAGTTTAACCTTGCAATAATTATTACTTTGCGTTTTCCAACTTTCACCTCAATCACTCGGAAAAACAGGAAACTCGAGCATATATAAGCGGACTGCTGGTCTCTTTCTGTACAAGATGCTCCGACGCGCCTACGTAACTTTGGCAATTTTGCTAGCCATTTCTTCGTTGGCTTCAGCCCAGAGTGAGTCTCTTTTCCGCTTTCTTTTCTTCAAGATAAACTGAAATTTTATAAATCTTGAAGAGAAAGTCGTTTGCTACTACAGTAGCTGGGCCAATTACCGAACAGGCAATGGTCAGTTCAACGCCACCAACATTGACCCTTTTCTGTGCACGCACCTCATCTACGCTTTCATTGGCGCCAATACGGACGGCACTGTAAAGATTCTCGATTCTTGGAACGATGTCACACTAAGCAAGTTTAAATTTATTTAAATATTTGGCTTTAAAATTAAATTTTATTTCAAATGTTGCATGAACTACATATTTTTTAAAATGACAATTTTGATAACTTTAAAATTGCAAAACTTATTATTAATTTTGCTTAATTAACCAAATTGTTGTTATTTAATAGCAAAAAATTCTCAAAGCTATCTCATGCAAATAGATTGATAGATTCATGATATTTGATTTTGATTGCAAATTCCAGACGGATACAAAGATTTCAACAATTTGCGATCAAAAAACGCGAATTTAAAGACGCTTGTTGCGCTGGGAGGGTGGAACGCAGGATCTGCAACCTACTCAAACATTTGCAATAACGTCGCCCTGCGTACAGCATTCGTGACCAATTTGTACAACTTTGTTGTCAAGTGGGGATTCAACGGGCTTGATATCGACTGGGAATATCCGGCGCAGAGAGGTGGAATCGCCGCCGATAAAGTTGAAATTTTCCTTGAAATTTAAAAACATCTGAAATAAAATTTAAAACAGGCAAATTTTGCATCCTTGGTCAGAGAGCTCAGGGCTAAGTTCTCGCCGGCCAAACTGCTTTTGAGCGCTGCCGTTTCTGCAGGCATCAACAGTTACAGCACTACATATGATTTGCCATCTCTCGCCGCGTTAGTTATGATCTTTTTTAAAATTCTTAATTCAAAAAAGATTTATATTTATACAGAAATCTGGATTTCATCAATTTGATGACGTACGATTTCCACTCCTCTGCAGAAGGAAAAACTGGAGAGAATTCGCCTCTGTACGCCGCTTCAATCGATACTGACAAAACTATGAATTCGGTAAGACAGACTAATTTTTATATCAGATTTCAAAGAGACATTTCTAATATTTAAACAAAGAAAATAGAGCCCCATTTTAGAAGAATTATAGTTACCCTAATTTAGATTAAGCCTAATTGATTTGATAATTTTAATTTATCTTTTAAAAAGATAAAAATTATAATTCACAATTTTATTTACAGTTTTTAAAATGAATATTATTTATTATTATATAGAATTATATAATTTCCAATGGATATTTTAATAAAATGTATCAAATGCGTGTTGAAATTGAAATTTCCAGGACGCTACGGTCCAATACTGGATTAGACAGGGCGTGGATAAGATGAAAATCGTGCTCGGAGTGCCCCTTTACGGCCGATCGTTCACCCTGAAAAGCGCGACCTCGAACGGTTTGGGCGCCGCGACTGTCGGTGCTGGCGTTGCAGGAGGCTGGTCGAAAGAAGCGGGACTTTTAATGTATTGGGAGGTTCGGAATGCAAGAAGTATAAACAAAGCACAATCATTTCAAAAATTCCTTTTGGACAGATCTGCTACTATCAGATGAGCTTAACCGGATGGACCGTCCAGTGGAACGTAGCCCAACAAGTACCCTACGCGTTCAGAAGTACCCTTTGGGTCGGCTACGAGAACAAACAGTCGGTCATGGTGAAGGTGGAAAATCAGAAAACTTTAAAAATTTTGATATTTTAAAAGTTATCTTCTTGAAAAAAGGGCAAATACGCAAAGGACAACGGTCTGGGCGGAGTCATGGTCTGGGCTATGGACTATGAAGATTTTCGCAACTTATGTGGCGGAGGAAAATTCCCGCTCATCTCGGCTCTTAAGGCAAATTTCATTGCTTGATTTGAGACTATTTTATTTCATTGGGATGATTTGATTTATTATTGCAATTGATGAATTGGCTATTCTTGTTTAATTTTATTGAGTATCATGTAATGGAATAAGAAAATTTGACAATAAAAACAGAATATTATTTAATTATGCACATCATTATTTAGAGTATGTATATGAAAGAAAAAAAAATAATATAATTAATTATTATGACAAACTTATATCAGATTGAGAAGATACTATTATGTTATTTCTTGAAATTTTATAAAAAAGACATTTACAAAATATAAATCAAAGATTTAAAAAAATTGATAATTGTTGCGAGGAATATATACACGGAATAATAAGAGTAGATTAAAATAGGCCATGTTACGTTGGAAACACCGATTCTTGTTAATCAAGCCACGTTTAGTTCAGGCAGCACTTGGATGAATATTTAACTCATTACTTATTTAACTCATTACTTGCAGCAGAAATCCCCACCTAATCAAAATCAATAAATCTTAACCAGATCCAATTTCCCATACTTCTAATTCCTAATCTGTCTCTTTTCAGTTTGTCTTTTGCAGCATCATCGAGTTGCCGCTAAACCAAGTTTATGCCATCGAAGAATAAAAAAATAAAAATAAAAAGGGTTTCCACCTTCCCTGCGTGTGTGATAGGCTTCAGTGGGTGGGGGGCGAGGGCGGGCGGTTTGGTTCTGAGGTGCATCCATGTTATTGAGACCCCGGGATCCAGCAGAACCTGCTAGTGTCGGTTAGATTAGATTAGCTCAATAATAATAGTTGTCAAAAAAATCAGAGGCTGGGAAGGGCAATAATATTTATTGCCCTTCCCAGCCCCTGAATTATTGGCAACAATTATTACTCTATTATAACGGTAATTTAATGAATAATATTATTCTGTGTGCATGTAATATGTTATCCCACTCCTCCTGTATTTCCCCTCAAACTAGAGAAGGCTACAATTCTGTGCTGCACAAAAGAAGAACAGTGTGTGTTTGACTTCCTAAGCATAAAGTCTGGTTACTATTTTTTAATTCCTAGAATATTAGCATTAGTGATATTAAATAAGTCTTTGGGGTCACCGCACTCCCGGCGGGCTGTGTCCTTGCACAGGAGGTCTTCAGGGTGAGCTGAAGGTATTACGGGTGAGAGGGTCAGTTAATTGAGATCAGTTATAGAAGTGCAAACTCATTGATTTTATTAAGAGAAGCATTAATACTGGAAATGGAGCGATCGGGCTTTTTCTGCAACGAGGAAAAGCCCGATCACTTCATTTCCATGATCATCTCCTCGAGTGTCAACTTCTTCAAGCATTAATAGTATTATTTAGCGACAATCTAAGCTTAAGTCACAGGGCACCCACAGCTGTGCAATTAAGCACCTGGTCCAGTTCCCTCGACTGAACCCAAAAAGGTTGTCGCAAATTAATGAAAAAAGCGAATTTTTCCAAATGAATAATTTACAATTTATATCAGTAAAGAGAATATATTTTCTGCAATTAAGATATTCCAAATAATTTTGAACAAAAATTTGCTCTAATATATTTGTTGCGAAATATCACGTTAATAAAATTTTGAACCTTGAATTGTCAGATAGAAACATTCAAATTTCAAACTTTATAGTATAATATCGCATCTCTCCGGCAATAAATAATTGTGAACAATACGCTTCGCGTTTTCCAACTTTCACGTCAATCATTGTCAGGTTTTTACGTGCCACTTGGGTAAAACAGGAAACGCTCAAGCGTATAAAAGCAGACTGTTGGTCTGTTTCTGTACAAAAATGCCACGAAGCACCTACGTGACTTTAGCACTTTTGCTGGCTTTTTCTTCGCTGGCCTCGGCCCAGAGTAAGTCTCTGTTTTGTTTTTTTACTTAAATATTAATTTTGAATGAAATTTGATAAATCTTAAAGAGAAAGTGGTTTGCTACTACGGAAGCTGGGCTAATTACCGAACGGGCGTTGCCCAGTTCAATGTCACCAACATTGACCCTTTTTTGTGCACGCACGTCATCTACGCTTTTATCGGCGCCAATACTAATGGCACTGTGAAGATTCTCGATTCATGGAACGATGTCTCACTAAGCAAGTTTAAATTTACAATCAAACTGCTTACAATTTTTCTTTAATTTCAAATATAGGGTTACATAATTTTAAATCAGTATCAATTTAGATATTTTCAAAATAAAATTAAAAAGTAACAATGATAGAATAAAATACAAAACAATCTCATGGACAGCAAATTTTGAAGTTTGATTTCAAATTTCAGACGGATTTAAGGATTTCAACAATTTGCGATTGAAAAATGCAAATTTGAAGACCATGGTTGCGCTCGGAGGGTGGAGCGAAGGGTCTGCAACTTACTCGACCATTTGCAATAACGTCGCCCTACGTACAGCTTTCGTGACCAATTTGTACAACTTTTTGGTCAAATGGGGATTCAACGGGCTTGATATCGACTGGGAATATCCGGCGCAAAGAGGTGGAATTGCCGCCGATAAAGTACAAATTTTCCATTAAATCTAAAACAAAAACGCATAATCGAAATAACAATCAGGCAAATTTTGCGTCTCTTATCAAAGAACTGAGGGCGAAGTTCACGCCGGCCAATCTGCTTTTGAGCGCCGCTTTTTCGGCCGACATCAACAGTTACGGCACTTCATATGATGTGCCAACCCTCGCAACGTTAGCTACGACTTTAAATTTTTTGAATTCAACTATTTATATTAATATTTTTTTAATTTAGAAATCTGGATTTCATAAATTTGATGACGTACGACTTTCACTCCTATGGGGATGGAAAGAGCGGAGAGAATTCGCCTCTGTACGCCGCTTCAATTGATACTGACAAGACTATGAATTCAGTAAGTTCAGAAACAATTTTTAAAAACTGACATGGTGCACCAAAGACTTAAAATTTTATAATTCCTAGAATTTAAATATTATCATAAATATATTAGTTTCATAAAAAAAACTAAATTTTGCATGAAGTGAGTGTGTTATGAAAATTAATTCCATTTATAGATCATCCAATATTTATAATAATTCAGTTCCGTAATTCCCTTGAATATTTTTTAAATTAGTGACTTAAATTATTGTATTAACAATTTTAAAGGGATCTTATTGAAAAAAAATTGAACATTAAAAATCGAATGAAAATAAACTTTATTCAAGGAAAAATTACCTAAAATAAATTCTTTAAAATTTGAGAGATGAGGAATACGCCACCATTGGAATCATGATAAAAAAAAAACTACTGCAATAAGCTTTAAGAGGACATAAATTGTGATGTTTCATTTTTTTTTAAATTCAGGAATATACTAGTATAAATAATAATTATTTGCAATATTTATTAATGAAAAGTATAATTTGAGTTTGAATTTAATTTTCCAGGACGCTACGGTCCAGTACTGGATAAAGCAGGGCGTGGACAAGATGAAAATCGTGCTCGGAGTGCCCCTTTACGGCCGATCGTTTACTCTGAAAAGCGCGACCTCGAACGGTTTGGGAGCCGTGACTGTCGGTGCTGGCGCGTTAGGACCTTGGTCGCAGGAAGCGGGCCTTTTAATGTTCTCTGAGGTTCACATTAAAAAATAAAACGCGCAGTTAACATTTTGCAACTTCCTGTTGGACAGATCTGCATGTACCAGAAAAACCAAACCGGATGGACCGTCCAGTGGAACGCCGCCCAACAAGTGCCCTACGCGTACAGAAGCACCCTTTGGGTTGGCTACGAGAATAAACAATCGGTCGAAGTGAAGGTGCAAAATTGAATATTTACTTGATATTTTAAAATTAATTTCATGGAAAAAGGGCAAATACGCAAAGGACAACGGTCTCGGCGGAGTCATGGTCTGGGCTATTGATTATGAAGATTTTCGCAACTTTTGTGGCGGAGGAAAATTCCCTCTCATTTCGGCTCTGAAGGCGAATTTCACTGCTTGATTCGAAATAATTTTATTTCGTTTGGATGACACAACTTTTTATTGCAATTGACTATTCTGATTTAGGTTCGAAAGAACAGTAAAATGTTTTGACAGTAAGAGAAAAAAAGATTTCGCAGATGTGTGTATTGTTTGAAAAAATTTTGTATGTAGAAAATAACATGATAAATAAAATTTTGAGCATTGAAATTGTTTCGCTTTCATTCAAAATTTTTGAGTGAACAAATCAACTATAATAAATTGAGCGATTTTCCGCGGACCGAAGGTGATGTCCTGAGAAATAATTAGAGTTATGTTTTCGTTGGTGTTGTTATTACAGATTTTTTTTTGGTTATATATTGGTCAATTACTGCGTCAATTCAATTTACCTAAATTGAACGTAATGAACGTATCTGCAATCCAATTTCATCATAATGCAACGTTCTTTTTAATTTTTGGCAAAAAATTTAATGTTTTAAAGGCCAATTCGTTATCAAAAATAATCATAATTTCTAGCTTTATTTTGTAATTTTCATTATTAATTTTCTTGCAAATCTGCCAGACGAAAGATATGTGATTTTTTATACAAATATCAGGTATAAAATTTTTATAATATTTGGGGTAGGAGGATCTAAATTCAAATACGTCGTTGAGGACACTTTTTTGATAGCTTAATAGTCGTTTTGATCGGCAGGTTCCTCTCCATCAAGGGCTTATAAGGAGGTTAACACCGTCGTTTGCTCTTTCTCTTTTCGTTGTGCGACGAAACGTGTGTTTTGGCGGGCGGAGGTCAATTCGGTACACACACGCACGCAAAGAGTACAAACAAGTGGTGATATTCTTTTGGCTGATATTGACAGTGGCTCATTAAGCGCCGCGCAAACAAAAGGAGGAGAATTAAGCCGTGTTGACCGACCAAGTCTCGTGACGGACGGTTATGTACAGGGGGTGCAATTAAAGCTGATTACTCACCCTCGTGGGCGTGCACCACCATGTCGGCAAGGTAGATGGCGTCGCACAGGTAGTCGAGCGCGAACCACAGGTACGGCGTCGCGTTGTCCAGTTCCCAGAAGACGGCGCGACCCACCACGAACACCATGTTGTACAAAACGGCGATCGTCACCACGATTAACCACTAAAACAAACAAGATTTTCTTCTCCTTAATCACATTTTTTTATCTCACAAATGTCACCAATTTGATACAGTTTAATGAGTTTTATTATCACTTAATGCATCAATAACATGTGAAAAAGCCCAATTGGCGATTCAAATATGCAATTTCACTTCCATGATCTCCTCCTCGATTGCCAATTTCTTCGGAAAAAAACTCTATTTCCTACAAAAGCACTTTTTAGGCTAATTGTGATTTAAAAAGTCCCTGAAAAGCCAAATATCTAATAATTGTTATAGGACTGAAAAAAATTTTAAAATGCGCAGGGCGCTGATTTTAAAAGAATTATACCCAAAGATTAAAATATTAATTTTCAATACAGTTTAATTTGTTGAAAATAATAAAAAAGAGCCATTACAGAATTTCAAAAGTTGAATTTCTAGCATGAATGTTAAAGAAAATTAAAAAAATCTTGCTAAATGAAAAACATTGGACTTCACACAATTAAAAAATAATACAAAAATCCAGAAATTAAAATCTCCCAATTGCTCTTTTTTAAATATTAATTTTTGTCAGTAATTCGGAAAAATAAACAGTAATAATAATTATGATAAAAATAAATTATTTATTAATTTTTAATTCAAGGGCCAGAATGAATACAATATAATTCTCAAATCAATCGCGAGCACACACTTGTCTGCTTTTATTCTCAAAATCTGTGTGCACAAAACGTGTAGCTGTTTTGTACACAGCACCACTTCATGCCGTGTGACTCGCCGGTTGGGGCCATTAAGCTGTGAGGAAAACAGGGTAGGTTCTTCAGAGCACACATGCACTCGGCCTACATATAAATCAAGAGAGGAAGAGCGTGATGTTTGGTCTCCAGATCACGTTTAATGAGGGAAGCAAAAGTAGCACAAAATGACATGTGTTAAATAGGCCTAAATCGATTTTGAGAATTAATTAACTGAAATGTAAAATGTCAATCTTGCACAAACAAATGCCAGTTATTTGACATTGTAGTGGAAATCTCAAAATCGTTTCATAAAACTTCAAGAGGAATTATTTTAAATCAAAGAAAATAATTTTGTAATGAAAATGAAATTTATAAATAAAATCTTACCAAATTAATTTCAACAAAATATTTTTAAATTAGAATGTAAAGTTTTTTTTGTTTCTGTTATTCCGTATTTGTAATTTAACTCACCCGATAGTGAAAGGGTTTGGAGGGGTCGATGGCCCGGGGGCAGCAGCTCATCTTTCCGCCCCCGCAACAGGCGCACCGCCCCCGGGAGCCGCCTCCACCTTCCATCGCCTGGGCCGACGCCCCCAACGCCAGTTTCTCCAGGAAGTAGTCGGCGTCGTCGGCGGGGTCACTGACCCCGTCGGCCTCCAGGTCGTTCTCTGCCAGGGGGCGGCCCAGCCGGGTGCGCACCCATCGGCCCGCCTTCTGCAGGACGGACGGCTTCCGCTGGTGTTTGCTCGCCTCTTGGGACTCATCCTTCGTAAAAACAGCAACAATTTTTGGTCAAAAAATAAGCAATTTAAACTGAAATTTATTTTTAGAGAGTAAAACCGGTCAAAATTTAAGAAACCAATACAAAACATTGAGTTTGAACTAATTCTTTATAATAAAAAATTTTAAAAACCGTCATCAGCGTATGAGATTGGATTATTTAATCTTAAAAAATTTATAATTATAACAAATCTATCATTAAAATAATTACTTCTGCGGTTAAACAAAAGTATGAATCTGATTAAAATTTATCTCTTGGCCAGAAATGTAAGTAAACCTTGCCAAGAGAGTAGATCAGCAACAATTCATAAAACTTTACGACCGCGTTTCTGATAACTGTCCATCTTTATGGAAAATTTACAAGAGGTTGCAAAAGTTGGCTGCTCGTAAACCAGAATCGTAAAAAAAGGAGAAACTTTACGGCCAATGTGATGACCAGCGAGCGGGAAATAAATATTAATTCCGAGTTAAAAAGGCAGAAAATGCGCAAATTGAAAAGAATCCCGGGCGGATGCTTTTGAATGAGCTTTCATCTCCCCTGCCAAATGGCGAGGCGTGCTTTTTGCTCGACACGGGTGTCGCGCGGGTTGCCTACCTGGTGCGAGTTGAGACGCGCTCTGCTGCTGTTGCTGGCGGCGACGCCTGCCACTTCGTCCTCGCTCTGATTCAACCGAAAAATAAAACACACACGCGCTCGGATCAATGCACACAACAATATGCGCCGCGAGAATAATTAAAATTACCGAAGCGGTCGGAGGCGCCGAGTGCTGCGGCGACGCGTTGCTCTCTGACGGTCTGGTCTCGTCTCCTGGGATCTCGTCACCTGCCACACAATCGAATCAAATTAAAGAGGGCGTTGGATTTGCTTCGATAGGGAAAAAGCAACATTTTCATTTCACTTGACAACTCCGTCGACAAGGAAAATTTAATGATAATTGAATTTGACGATTTGAGATATTTTAATATTTAAATCTCGCTGCTCATGAAATAGAGTTGCAGACCGCAAACAAAGCTGTTAGAGCCATTTTTTTTTTAAATATAAAACCATTTTTCAACGCAGACTGTTTACTTCGCTTCCACGATCCTCTCCTCGAGTGCCAATTTCTTAATTAAAATTTAATTGTTCATTCAATTTGATTCAAACGATGCCTTGTCATATTTCATTTCTTTATTGAAATACAAAATTTTTAAATAAATTTTTAATGATAGTAGGAAATTATGTTCAAAATTTTATCTTAATACTCTTCGTCTATTAAAAACAGTTAATGTTTTTAATTTATACACTAAAAAAAATCAACAGGCAGTCAGTGATTCATAGAATAAATTTCCTTGACGCATCTAACAATAAGCAATAATTTGGATTAATTGTTAACCAACCTGCTCAATTTTTTCAACAGCAGTTTTATAGGTTTCAAGATTGGATGGACTTACATAAATAGAATTTGTAATTCTTTCTTATAAATACCTTGAAGAAATTCCTATTCGAGCAATACAACTTTGATTTTCATTCTTTGGTTTGCTCATAAATTACTTTTAAAAAAATTGAAGAATTCAATGTTCTAATTCATTTCATAACCTTCTTTAAAACTTGGGTCAAATTCTTTCAATAAACATTGGATTAAAATGATTAAAAAGAAATTAAAGCAAAAATTATTCAAAAATTCATACAATTATCTTCAAAATCAGAGTTTAAGCAACTTGGCGTAACGCAATAGCCGTTTATTCCCTGCGTTTACTTTTGAATGTGCGGGGCAATTACAAAGAACGGTTTGTCGCTGTTTATTTTCCTCCCCTAACATGACGATGGACGGCAGTGTGTTGGCGGCGCTGCACCGACATTTATTGCTCCGTTTTATGAAGATTAATCTGCACGACGCGTGGAAATGAAACCTGTTGGGTTGACCGATTGTGACAAGAAAATACTTGCCGTTCGTAAAAGAACTACAGACACTTTTTAGGTTCAAAATGGGGAAAACCCGATGGGGCCCCATAGAAATACGTGGAAAAGGAAGGCGGAGGTTCATTCGTCAAACAGAGAGAAAGCAGCACGTCTTAAATGGCTCTGGGGGAATTTTTAGTAATTAAATTCGTTCTTACTTGTGGTTGGTTAACTCAGGAAAAGAGTGACTCAGTTAGCGAAGGAATTATAAATTTTTTTAATAGAAAACTAGGTTGTTCACACAAAAATACCATTTGGAAATATAAGCAACAAATAGTGAAAAAAAATTGTTGCTTGCAACGTTGCAACAGTTTTTTAAATACCGTTTTCAATTTATGTTTGTTTACAGAACAAAATTTCCAACATCACAGAACTTTCTGATACTATCCATTGACAGAAATAATTGTAGAAAATCAAATTTAATTTAATTTAAAACATTAATTTTCAAACTCCATGAAATGAAAATAAAATATTTATGATGTTTTGAAAATTTATTTTAACAACCTCAAAATACTTCGGACAAAACTTTGGTAGTCTGTTCATGATTTTTTTATTTTGTGGATCAAGAAATGTCAATACTTAAGCTTCTTCAAGAAAGAACATTTTAAGCCTGAAACAACTAGAATCTTTTAATCTTGGCCAAAAGACTGAATCTATTTTTTATTCTGTGAAATCCACCCAACACCACTTTAATCTTTAAAGATATCCTTCAAAATGAGAATTCCACGAATTCCACTTCTCAGGCAAGGGTCAAAAGAGCCATAAAGTTAACAGGAATGAGACGCGCCGCTACTTTTTTTTCGTTTCTGTCGACGGCGTCCATTTCTCTCTCTAGCTGTCAGAACCGCTTTCCGCAAATGTCACCCTGCTTTCATTTTTTTGCTAGCAGCATAACGAGACGCCGGCGGAGGTTTTCCCACAAAAATATTACCTTGCGTCGCCATGAGCGACATGCACATCAGCAACAACAATGGTGGAGGCGGCTGCGGAGGCGGCGGCGGCGACCCCTGGCAGAGGCGGTGTTAGCTCCGGCAGCGGAAGCCACAGAGGAAGTCGTTTACGTCCATGCATCACTGCGAACACCACAAGCGAAAAATCACTTTCGATCCACCGGGGAAACGCTTAATCGAATCATTTTAATATGCATGACCCTTTTTGTTAGTTATGCAAAGAGGGTATTTCATTATTATCTTAAGATTAAGTGACATTGCAAATTATGGTTTTTTCTCTTTGTTGCCTGGAAATTATTTCAATTTTTAACCTTGAATTATTAAATTAGGTGAAATAAAGAAAAATGGACGAGGAATCAATTGTAGTATTAGGAGTTTGAACATAAACAAGTTTAATGCTGATATAAACTTCTTATACCTGGCAAACAGTTTGGAAAAACTGTGTGGTTTTGTGATGCGGCAACAAGTTACAGCAGACAAAACTTACCGGACAAAGCGACACAAGCGCACGTCACGTGACAAATTTTTCTCAGCATATATTGGGACACAAGTTACACGCGGAAATTTTCAATTTTCAGTAAGTCATTCCTAAGGAAATTGGCATTTTTAAGGCATTGTTATAAAATAAAAATAATTTTTAATTATCCCACTAAAACTTTGCCAACATCAAGCTCAATGCAATAATTTAAAAAGAATCTTATATATTACCATTTTTATGCCACAAATTTATCAGATGGAACAGAATTTATACTTTTCTAATCACATTAATAAAAGAACATATGAAAATATCAAAAATTTATTCAATTCCCCAGTGACGGATAACTCGGATGAAGTCTGAAAAGGCATTTTCGGCCTATTTCCTTTCAGATAAATTCCGATTTTTTTCGGACTATTTCCAAATTTTCGGATGAAGTCCGAAAAGGCATTTTCGGACAAATTCCTTTCGGATGAAAGGCGGTCCACCATATTTACAACCTGAATCATTTAAATTTTATCTCCTCACGCACCCAACAAATTTGAGGAGTTGGGGCTGCTGTATTAAATGCGTTGAAACCATAAAGAATTTGACTTCAGGGTCAGGGGCCCTTCAAGACAAGTTTGTTTTTCTAGTGTATATAGTAAAAGAGCTGTGTGGCCGGTGAATCAGTTTGGGTCAAGGCGGTGGTCTTATTGTATTGATATAGGTGGGCATCTCTCCCTGCAGAATCGAAGGGAGGCGAGCTTTTGACACGATTTTCCTTTCGGCCGTTAGATAGAGATCACCGCTTCTTCCGAACTTTCCGTCCACAGAAGAAGAGAGACTTGGAAACACTTTTTCTCTTTCTCACCTCTTCCACTGCGAGAAGAGGAAAAGAAGATATTATCACCATTATTATTATTTTGCGACGAGAGGGTTTTCCATTTCGTTCTTTAGAAACTTTTTTCATCGGCAGAAAACGAAAGGAGGGAAGTTGTTGGGCAGGTGCAAAAAAAAGGAAAGTTTTCGTTTCGATCGGAAGCTCTGCAGATGTGCGAGGAGTTTACACGTTAGAGCTTGCTCCTTTTTGCACGTTAGGAGATGACGACAAATTGAAATTAATCATCTTTTAGACTGAAAAAGTGCACAGGTGAAGATAAAAATGTGCCACGTCCATCTTGAAGAGCTTTAGAAAAGTACTGCGCATATACCTTTTTGACCTGAATCCACCACTCCACAGCATTCACAATACTGAGGGGGAAACAAGTTTTCATTTTCCACTTCGTAATGAACTATTATTTTGTATTTTCATTTTGAAAAATTTCCATTTTTAAGACGTTGCAATATATTTATGAATGGACTGGTGAAAAATTTCTTTCTAATTTACAAAAATAAAAATTTATTGTGAAAATCAATCATAAAACAATTTCAGCGATTTTGGGAGTATAAGCAAAATTAATGCCAGTGATTTTTTTTTTAGTCTAATAACAATTATCTTTCTTTCAAACAATTTGTTTATTAAAAATGAGGTAAAATAATTGTAAAAATTTTGGACGGACCAATACACAACAATAATTTAATAAAGAAACGATTTTTATCTTAGATTAATGGATTCATATTTTATAATTTTCTAGATTAGTAATGTCCTATAATTAACAAAACAAGACTTCATAAATTGCGGGGACATTTGATATATGTGTATATATTTCCACTAGATGTCTGGTAAATTTATAAGGCAAACAAATAAAACAAGATTAGAAAGGAAATTATTCATTGTGATGATTAAGATAATTCTTCTTTTATGCTCAGAGATTCGCGTCCGGATGAGACCTTTAACCTTTCCGCTCGCCGGCTTAATTAGCCTAAGAGGTTGGTGACGCGAAGAAAACGAGAAAGTTCAGCGTATTAATTAATGGGATGAAAGGCAGCCTCTGGAACTGAGTAAATATTTCCTGAGATCTTGCCTTCGGATCGGTGAATAAAGAATAATACATTTCAGCAAATCGCCAAGGATGTGAAATTCTCTAATTGATCAGAGCCTACAATTTTTTTCTTTTTAGAAATTGGTAAAAATAAAGTATTGCAATTTTTCGTTCACAGATATTATCAATTGATCTGATATGATAGTATATTTTTTACCTCGGTTTTTTTAAAGACTTGTTATTTTTATTTTTTGAAAGGAAAACTCTTTCATTGGAAACTTCATGCAAATAATGTGGAATTATTATTTTTAAAGCATAAATCAGAGCCCTAATTTTTTTTAAAGAAATCGGAAGCAATAAAATTTAGATATTCTAAATTTAAAATTTTATGGGTTAATTAAATATTTTGTCAGCAAAAATTTAATCACAATTAAAGCCTTGTCCCAATTCGGCCAAAAGTGGAGAGTGAATTGAGGCCGCATTACATTTTCGCGAAGGGACAATTTCCCAACATGGCGCGATGATCCATTAAGCGGAATGGGGTAGTCTCGTGCATACACACACACACCCCCTGGGAGAGGGTGGACATTAAAAGAAGACTCACTCGTCATGCGAGGCAAATGAAATCCTCAGAGCATCAGCAGCAGTCACGCCACCTTGTCGTAAATAAAGAGAAGAAAAAAAGCGAGCGGGGGTTGCTTCTTCCTTGCGACACTCTCAGCCAACCAGTTTCCAGTCTACGTGAGAAGATTACTCAATCTTACCCCTATTCAAAGCGAAATATTTTATTACTTTGTCTCTGCTTCTCTGCCGTACACAGTCTTTCTTTCTTTCTTTCTCCCCCGCAAACAAAGCCGCGGGTGGCGCTTATTTTCGCGCACGGAAATTTGAGGCGAAAAATAAAACGGTGCTCGACTTATTTTCGTCCAGATGCAATCTTCGTTCGGCGCTGCTATTTGCCGCGCGACGAGATAAGAAAAGCCGCAAGGGTCAATATCAAACGGGATTATAAAAGGCGTGCGTGGAATCGCAATTCTCTGTGAACCGCACAGATAAAGTTCAGAAGTTTATTCCCCATAGAGTCCACGTAGTTCCTTCACAACTACAACCGATCGACTCTTTTTTTTTTAAATCGTAACCTTGCACTTTGACCTATATATTTGAAGCCAAGAGAGTGGTAGAGCTTGACGAGATGATTTGAAATATATCTGGATTTTTGTTGTAAGACTAAGGGAAGCCGAGAGAATAAAAAATTTTGGATTTTTCAAAATTCCCCCTGAAATCTGCATTTTTTTTATTTTTTATTATAATTTAGGGAGTTTACTATAAAACCACGTGAAAACCAGCGAAATTTTGAGATATTTAGCTCCAACTATGTGACCTGAAGTGTATTGCAAAAATTTCATTATTTGTTTTTTTTTTGGAGAGCTTATTAAATAATTTATGCAACATCAATCCTCGGTTATTATTTTCTGCAAAACAAAAATATGCAACAATGGTTTTTAAAATTCTTACGCTCTAAAAAGAGCAACACCAACATTTCAATACAGTGACGAATTACAAAAACTGACTATAACGAAACTAATTTTGCACACAAAAGCTACTTAATTTTTTTCCTCCCGATAATTAAGAAACAAGAATTACAGAAAATAAAAGCAGTGATCACGATTCATTGTTTTAAGTTATAGTCTAGGTAAAAAAAAAATTTAATCTCCATGTTTAATTTCAGTTTTCAGAAGACTATAACTTCTAAGTCAGTTTGTGATCTTAAAAAATTTTGCAAAGTTTTGTCTTTTTGAGCAATGATTAAAAATATTTTTTTATTTTAGTTAACATGGCTACGACCAATGAACTGAGATATTTATTTAATTGCGATGATTCAATTTAATATTTTAAATATTCAAATTTAATATTTTAAATTGTCCCCCCCCCCCGAATTGTTACTGATTGTGAGCTTGGATAAAATTGAAAGACGTAATTTGATTTTGTGTACGTGTCCTTAATTACTGTGATCGTGCAAGGAGTAATTTAAAACGTTAATCTGCTGCTCTCTTTCGCGCCGCTCAATTTGCATAATGCATCCCTGCGTGAGTCGGCGGCGGTTGCCATGGCGCCTTATCCAGATCAGCAAACCGATCGGTCGCGCAAACAGAAGCCCCGCAGGCGTAATTGAAAATCACATTAGCCATGCCAAGACAAACACAAGTAGTGCGCGTTCGGTTCGTTTGCCCCGGCCAAAGTGAAAAAAGAACCCAAATAATGAAGTGGACCTTTTTTCGCCCGCACTTGATGAACTCGCCGTTTTTCCTACAAAAAAAGTAAGAGCCACCGGCTCGAAATGAAAAAGTTTTGATTACAAAGGAATTATCTCACTTGCCTGGACAAATGAACGCCGTTTGCTACACCAAGCTTTTTGCCAGAGAGAGAAGAAAAGGGAAGTAATCTGAGGAATTCTTTTTAGCGGAAAAGATTACACGAATCGCCTAGACCAAAATCGCGGTGATTGGATAAATTGATCTTGTTTATATATAATTTTGAGTTCCTATAGTGATTCACTTGAAAATTGTTAATTCAGAACCTTATTTTAATAATTTGAAAATTTCATGTATTTTCTCCATATTTATTAATTTATAAAAATTCTCAAAAAAAGCAAAGATTCCTCTTACTTTTCAAAAATCGGCTTGAATATCAATCGCCTGTATAATTTTTTTAAATTAAACGATCTTCATTTCACGGCAAAAAAA